GCGCTGTAGGAGGGGGACAACTGAAAACGGAGGCCTCCACCTCTGTTTAATGAACAAAAATGGCTTCTTTTACTCCTCTCTCAAACCAACGTTCCTCTCTATCAAGAATGAGAACATCCTCATCTCTGAAAGAGTGACCGCTGGCCTGTAAATGAGTTAAAACTGCAGAGTTCTGGCCGTTAGATGCAGCTCGTCTGTGTTGGGACATTCTTTTGAACAGTGGTTGCTTTGTTTCCCCGATGGTTTGATGATTTTGCCTGAAACTCTCAGACTGAAGAAGTCTCTTGGAGGACAGACGAAACGTTTCATTAGAGAAGAACCCGTCCAGTAGTGAAGGTAGTTTTCAGTCATGGTGCTGACATATCTTTATTAGGATTAAACATGAAATAACAAGAAATATTTATTTCAGATTTAACCACACATGTAGATTTGCACACTTTATAAGGCCACAAAAACTCTTTTTAATCAATTTATGATATGTCCCATGAGCCTTTGTTACTTGAGCGTTTGGCAGACTTTCTCCAAGTGCACAGACTAAAACAAAAGAGGGCCACTGCACAGCTTAATCGTTAAAAATAAAGGACTTTACTTTAAAAAGTATTTGTATTTCATGTATTATATAACTGCTTTTGGCCCGCAGCCGTGGATAGATTGTCATTTTGGCCCCCTCAGGGAAAATGTTTGGGCACCCCTGGTGTAAACAAACGCTGAGTCAGCATTCAGACAGTGGATGTGACCCTGTTGTCCTGATGGTGGAGGATTTAAAAACCACTATGGGGAAAAGACAACAACTGAATGCCAATGAAGATTACAGCTGAGGAAACCCAGCATTACAATTTTAATTAATTTCCCTTTAACAACTAACTAACTAACTAACTAACTAACTAACTAACTAACTAACTAACTAACTAACTCACTCTAAACTATTCCATATGTTCTGCATAAGCAGTGACTACAAAGCGTTGGTGAAGGAGACAATAAACATGCTAAATTGTCACATCTATTAATAAACGAGCTTTGTGAAATATTGTTTGAAGGTTACATAAAAAACTTTAGGTTAAACTGCACTGGGTTGAAGAAAAAAAAAAGCCTGACGAGCCAGCTTGTTGTGTCCTACAAAGACGGGTTTGCTGCAACACTGCAGGTCGGTGCCGCAGGAACACGGAAAGTAAAGTTAACACAATTGATAAAACGACACAACGTCGAACATTTTAAATGTCAGAAACAACACTGACTGATACTGCTGGCGTGCCCGTTGAAGTAACTTTGTGATGTTTTAGTCCCTAAAGCAAACAGTAAAACAAGTGTTAGCAGCACAGGCTTCTGTTTAACCAAGCTAGCTGCTGTTAGCTCGTCTCTGACCCGAACCTGTTTGTTTGACGTCTCCTTACCGGCGGGAGGGGGAAAACTCACAAAAACAACAACAAAAAAACGACAGCTTTCTCCAAAACAACACCACGTCAACGTCCGTCGACTTTCCTCACTTTCAGGTTCGTGTAAAACGCTGTTTGTTGTGCGAGTTTCCAGCCAGCCTGTTAAGTTTACTTCCGTTTTTATCCACTTGTCTTTATTTTGACCTTTGGTTACTCGACACCAACATTGACGTCATCGTCATGGCAACGGAGTCCCTCCTACAGTGCGCGCGTGGACGCGGGGATGTCATTGAGCCTCGCGACGCTGCAGCAGCACCTGCACTGCAAAAACTGTCCATCTAACCAAGTTTTAAAACCTTATATCAGTTAAAAAGTCTTTTTGATCTTGTTTTSAGACTGATTTACTAAACAAGAACTGGTTGTGTAAGAATAATAATCTTGTTTTCAGAATGTGTAAGATTATTTGTCTTGTTGGTCTGAAAATTTGACTCTAATTAAGTCAAAAAATTTCTGCCAGTGGAGGAAGAAAATTTTACTTGGTAAGATTCTTGAAATAAGACAAAATTGAGTCAAATCAAGTATTTCAATAATCTTACCAAGTAAAATTTTCTTACTCCATTGGCAGAAATTTTGGACTTAATTTGAGTCAAATTTTCAGACTAACAAGACAAATAATCTTACACATTCTGAAAACAAGATTATTATTCTTACACAATCAGTTCTTGTTTAGTAAATCAGTCTCAAAACAAGATCAAAAAGACTTTTTAGCTGATATAAGGTTTTAAAACTTGGTTAGATGGACAGTTTTTGCAGTGCACTTTTTTTCCAGCCTTAGAGGTCGAATAAGGACCCGGCCCACCTAGACGGGGTAGGCTGGGTCCTTCAAAGGACACAGCCTCTTAATTTGGACACAAAGACTGACAGACCTGGAACTTTCTAAACCACAAGGTTTTTTAGATCAGAGGTGAAACGTCTTCAAG